ACTGTAGGACTGTATGTGGACTAGGGTCTACTGTAGGACTCCATGTGTACTAGGGTCTACTGTAGGACTGTATGTGGACTAGGGTCTACAGTAGGACTGTATGTGGACTAGGGTCTACTGTAGGACTGTATGTGGACTAGGGTCTACTGTAGGAATCCATGTGGACTAGGGTCTACAGTAGGACTCCATGTGGACTAGGGTCTACTGTAGGACTGTATGTGGACTAGGGTCTACTGTAGGACTCCATGTGGACTAGGGTCTACTGTAGGACTGTATGTGGACTAGGGTCTACTGTAGGACTCCATGTGGACTAGGGTCTACTGTAGGACTCCATGTGGACTAGGGTCTACTGTAGGACTGTATGTGGACTAGGGTCTACTGTAGGACACCATGTGGACTAGGGTCTACAGTAGGACTGTATGTGGACTAGGGTCTACTGTAGGACTGTATGTGGACTAGGGTCTACTGTAGGACTGTATGTGGACTAGGGTCTACTGTAGGACTGTATGTGGACTAGGGTCTACAGTAGGACTCCATGTGGACTAGGATCTACTGTTTATTTATACACCTCTTTGTCACGTGTCTTCTTGACTGTTTGTTTATTTGTGAGAGGACAAAGCTTAGTTATTTATTCTATAAATGTATGTATTTAACATAAAGTAGGTCTCCGTAGTTGTTAACATTTGAGTTCAATCCATAATCTCCATCCCAAGGCACAATAAAATATATTTACATCTGCGTTATTTAAATAATGAGCTTCAAGAAAAACGAGCCTCAAGACTACAGACGTTTTACCGACCCGCAACACATGAAAATATCACGTTTCCACCGGTGTTTTTGTTCTTGAATTTTATTTATTAATGATTTCAATTTTTCATAAGAACTTGGTACAAAAACAAAAAGTGAGGCTACTCTTAACCATTTACCAACTTCCATCAATCAACTTTTTAAATGCATCACCACCAAGATAAAACGACATTGGCACAGACGTTCCTATACACACTATCCACTGGACAGCCCCCCCCTTATCATCAATGCCAAAGGAGAAAAAAAAACACTACTTCAACAGCCAAAAGACATTTCCATGTAATAAGTGTTCATCTTCTCTCCTGGTTTTGTTCCTCTTCCTCCTCATGGCAGAAGAACACATTGAACATCGGCCAGCTCATAACTATGCATCATTGGAAAACGATAGAAAAACACTCCCAAAGTTTATTTTTCATTTATTTTTGTTCATCGTTGATAAAATAATATAAAAAAGAAAAATAAAGAAGAAAAAAAAAAAATCTGCATTTGTTCAAACGTTGTGTCTTGAGTGTATTAAAATATATCTGTATTAAGCGCCGCACAGTTTCTCCCGGAGGATTCTGGGTGATGTAGTCTGGGGAAACCTCTTGAGAGGGGGATAATGGATGAAGGGCACACAGTGGAGGTGGTAAAAGCTGCTTCACTAACCTCTGATCTGGAGTCAGTTAAGTTTGTTTTTATTCTGTATTCTCCTAATGTTAAAGTTAGGATGAGCTGATTCTAGATCTGTGGGGGTTTTTGGGGGGGGGGCAACTTCTACCTTGATGCGACATGGAGCACTGATATGGTACGAGTCTTCTAGTCCCCCTCTCTTTTGGGGATTTGATTCCCATCAGAGTGGTATGCGGTACGCTGGGCAGATGCCCGTCTCTGTCTCTGTCGGGGTCTGTCTGTGCTATTCCATGTGGGGAAGAGGCAGAGCTCATGATATGCACTGAATGTTAGACGAGACAAGACTTGGGGTCTGTCTGTGCTATTCCATGTGGGGAAGAGGCAGAGCTCATGATATGCACTGAATGTTAGACGAGACAAGACTTGGGAATGGTAAAAGCCCTATTAGATAGACAGCCCATACAAACTACTGCTCGGATTTCAGTTGCACCTTATATAGGATCTTCCATTTTTGTTGGTTTGCGAAAGGCAAACTTGGTATTGATGTCCTCAGTGTGTGTGAGGCTTGGTGTTGATGTCCTCAGTGTGTGTGAGGCTTGGTGTTGATGTCCTCAGTGTGTGTGAGGCTTGGTGTTGATGTCCTCAGTGTGTGAGAGGCTTGGTGTTGATGTCCTCAGTGTGTGTGTGAGGCTTGGGGTATTGATGTCCTCAGTGTGTGTGAGGCTTGGTATTGATGTCCTCAGTGTGTGTGAGGCTTGGTGTTGATGTCCTCAGTGTGTGTGAGGCTTGGTGTTGATGTCCTCAGTGTGTGAGAGGCTTGGTGTTGATGTCCTCAGTGTGTGTGTGAGGCTTGGGGTATTGATGTCCTCAGTGTGTGTGAGGCTTGGGGTATTGATGTCCTCAGTGTGTGTGAGGCTTGGTGTTGATGTCCTCAGTGTGTGTGAGGCTTGGGGTATTGATGTCCTCAGTGTGTGTGAGGCTTGGGGTATTGATGTCCTCAGTGTGTGTGAGGCTTGGGGTATTGATGTCCTCAGTGTGTGTGAGGCTTGGTGTTGATGTCCTCAGTGTGTGTGAGGCTTGGGGTATTGATGTCCTCAGTGTGTGTGAGGCTTGGGGTATTGATGTCCTCAGTGTGTGTGAGGCTTGGTGTTGATGTCCTCAGTGTGTGTGAGGCTTGGGGTATTGATGAGAGTTGGACCGGTCCTCTCTATGACCCTGGTTCTGTCAACTACTCAGGTCCAAAGTGTCCTACACTACTACGTCATTGAGTCCTGTCCGGGTCAGGAACCGTGTAGCAAACAAGTCTTCTTGATATGAATTAGTATGATGACCTCCTAATTATTGCATGTTCCTCTCATTTGAGCAGTTTGGTTAATATGTTGTCCTCTCTTTTGAGAATGATATATTTTGTCTTGATTCCCTTTTTTTTTGTTCCTCAGTGTGTAATTGTAGAATAGAGGGATCCCACAACACAGCGTTGATTTGATCAACAGAAACGCATCATGATAATAGTTAAATCGAATAGAAATGTGTCAACACCTTTAGGACCCCCTTTTGTTGACAGCGGGACGTCTAACTAGAGATCAACACTAAACTGTTGCAGAATGATATGACTGTTCTCCTCCCCGTCCCAGGTGTCTGGTGTTTGATTGTTTACAAAATTATATAAGATGAAGAAACCCTGGTTGTATCTAGTTGTTCTTGAGGCAGTGTTCATTTGTACCGTCTAGCTCACTAGAAACAGTTCATTTGTACCGTCTAGCACACTAGAAACAGTTCATTTGTACCCTCTAGCAGACTAGAAACAGTTCATTTGTACCGTCTAGCAGACTAGAAACAGTTCATTTGTACCGTCTAGCACACTAGAAACAGTTCATTTGTACCGTCTGGCACACTAGAAACAGTTCATTTGTACCGTCTAGCAGACTAGAAACAGTTCATTTGTACCGTCTGGCAGACTAGAAACAGTTCAAATCAGCAGGCTCTTCAACTGTCAAATGTCAAGTCATCATAATGAACAACATCACACAACTAGAGTTAAAAACCGAATATTGTGAAAGTGATAAAAACCGAATATTGTGAAAGTGACAAAATAGAAAACCTATAAAAATCAGGCAGGGGTAAAAAAGCATGCCAGACATATATATTTGATACGTACACAGGAGTTCCCAGTACTAAATGTAATGGTTTATATCTGATACGTACACAGGAGTTCCCAGTACTAAATGTAATGGTTTATATCTGATACGTACACAGGAGTTCCCAGTACAAAATGTAATGGTTTATATTTGATACGTACACAGGAGTTCCCAGTACTAAATGTAATGGTTTTTTGGCATATTTTCTATAGTGGTGAAAAAAAGGGGATTCAAATGGTTGGATCGCACAATTACAGGACAGTTCAAAATGGCCGCTTTTGAGTACAGCTTTGGGGGGGAGCAGGAACATGTTGGGTTGTTGTTGTTGTTGTTGTTGTTGTTGTTGTCCAGTAACAGTCACATGGAGAAGGACCTGGGATAACAATACAACTTATGTACAGCGATAGATCCTTCCATCAATACTCCTCAATACTCAGTAACTCGGTAATCAACAGCATGAAAAATACTCAACTCTCCTCTAGAAATGCTAAATTCTGTAGTCATCTTAAATACTTTTTTATTTTATTTTAACTCCTTTAACTCTATACTAATACTGGAAAAAAATTTGATTCTCTGTTTTTTTTGTTTTGAAGGCTTGTACGCTTTTCCGTACATACACAATGAAATCTTCTCCCCACCTTTCACCTCACTCACCTGATAATCATGGCAAATATTGTTCAGAGACCTACTCCAACATAGCAGTAGAGTCCTTTAGTTCCACTTCTTCTTCATTCCTTCCATTGTTCATTTGTAACTAACTACGCTATCGTTGTCTCTCTCTATCTATATGCACAACAATTATTATACCAGGTTTTTTTTTTTTTTTTTTTTATCTGAACGATTTTTCGGCCACACAGAAAATACCTATTTCAGTTGCAGCACTGTGATCTAACTTCTTATAGTCGTAATAAATACATTAAGGCCAAGAAACATTAATAATAAATAAAATAAAAAACTATAAATAAAATAAATCTCGTAAGCACTGTAGGTGTTGGGTTTAAAAAATACTTGTAATGAAATGCAGTGAAAGGAAGATGTTTCAGTTCTTCCCCCTCCACAACAACTCTCCAACCACGTGGTTCACTAATATTCAATGGTTTCGATGGCGTCTCAGACGACTTCTTCCAAAAAAAAAAATAGTTGTCTCAACGTTTTCTGTGAGGTGTCCTGCCATTCCGCAGGTGGCCACGTGGCATGGATGCTTCTGCTGAGGCACCCTATTCCCTATATAGTGCACTACTTTAGACCAGAGAATGGCACCCTATTCCCTATATAGTGCACTACTTTAGACCAGAGAATGGCACCCTATTCCCTATATAGTGCACTACTTTAGACCAGAGAATGGCACCCTATTCCCTATATAGTGCACTACTTTAGACCAGGGCTCTGACGCCAAATGGACACGTCTTCGAAACTGTCCCCCCCATGGGGGTCCTGGTTAAAAGCAATGCACTATATAGGGGATAAAGTGCCATTTTGGTGGCGCACCCTTTGAACTGTGAACTGTGCCCCCTGGTGGGCTGGAATGGTGCTACAAGAGCTCAGTTGTTGCCCCGGGTCTGGCTCTGAGACTGTGGCACGGCCAGACTCTTCTGCTGCAGTAGCATAGACGGTCCAGCAGGGGGCGCTGTGTGTGCATTGGGGCTGCCGGAGGGTTTGATCCAGGGCAGGGAGAGCAGGGACGCTCCGGTGGTGGTGGTGGTGGCTGTCATGGTAACCTGGATCATCTGGTCTCTTTGGATCAGACGAATCAGAGCCTTGAGACGCTCCAGGGAGGACTGGGTGTCCCTCTGCTGACCAATCAGACGCTCCCGCACGTCCATCACCTTCTGCTGGGACAGAGACACAGAAACATAAACATTTCTAAGTACCGTGGAAGACTTCTGGCTAGTTAGTAGTAGTATACTTCACTGTTGAGATCCTTCTGGCTAGTTAGTAGTAGTATACTTCACTGTTGAGATCCTTCTGGCTAGTTAGTAGTAGTATACTTCACTGTTGAGATCCTTCTGGCTAGTTAGTAGTAGTATACTTCACTTCACTGTTGAGATCCTTCTGGCTAGTTAGTAGCAGTATATGTCACTGTTGAGATCCTTCTGGCTAGTTAGTAGTAGTATACTTCACTGTTGAGATCCTTCTGGCTAGTTAGTAGTAGTATACTTCACTGTTGAGAACCTTCTGGCTAGTTAGTAGTAGTATACTTCACTGTTGAGATCCTTCTGGCTAGTTAGTAGTAGTATACTTCACTGTTGAGATCCTTCTGGCTAGTTAGTAGTAGTATACTTCACTTCACTGTTGAGATCATTCTGGCTAGTTAGTAGTAGTATACTTCACTGTTGAGAACCTTCTGGCTAGTTAGTAGTAGTATACTTCACTGTTGAGATCCTACTGGCTAGTTAGTAGTAGTATACTTCACTGTTGAGATCCTTCTGGCTAGTTAGTAGTAGTATACTTCACTGTTGAGATCCTTCTGGCTAGTTAGTAGTAGTATACTTCACTGTTGAGATCCTTCTGGCTAGTTAGTAGTAGTATACTTCACTGTTGAGCTCCTTCTGACTAGTTAGTAGTAGTATACTTCACTGTTGAGATCCTTCTGGCTAGTTAGTAGTAGTATACTTCACTGTTGAGCTCCTTCTGGCTAGTTAGTAGTAGTATACTTCACTGTTGAGATCCTTCTGGCTATTTAGTAGTATTATACTTCACTGTTGAGATCATTCTGGCTAGTTAGTAGTAGTATACTTCACTGTTGAGATCATTCTGGCTAGTTAGTAGTAGTATACTTCACTGTTGAGATCATTCTGGCTAGTTAGTAGTAATATACTTCACTGTTGAGATCATTCTGGCTAGTTAGTAGTAGTATACTTCACTGTTGAGAACCTTCTGGCTAGTTAGTAGTAGTATACTTCACTGTTGAGATCCTTCTGGCTAGTTAGTAGTAGTATACTTCACTGTTGAGATCCTTCTGGCTAGTTAGTAGTAGTATACTTCACTGTTGAGATCCTTCCGGCTAGTTAGTAGGAGTATACTTCACTGTTGAGATCATTCTGGCTAGTTAGTAGTAGTATACTTCACTGTTGAGAACCTTCTGGCTAGTTAGTAGTAGTATACTTCACTTCACTGTTGAGATCCTTCTGGCTAGTTAGTAGTAGTATACTTCACTGTTGAGATCCTTCTGACTAGTTAGTAGTAGTATACTTCACTGTTGAGATCCTTCTGGCTAGTTAGTAGTAGTATACTTCACTGTTGAGATCCTTCTGGCTAGTTAGTAGTAGTATACTTCACTGTTGAGCTCCTTCTGACTAGTTAGTAGTAGTATACTTCACTGTTGAGATCCTTCTGGCTAGTTAGTAGTAGTATACTTCACTTCACTGTTGAGATCCTTCTAACTAGTTAGTAGTAGTATACTTCACTGTTGAGCTCCTTCTGGCTAGTTAGTAGTAGTATACTTCACTGTTGAGATCCTTCCGGCTAGTTAGTAGGAGTATACTTCACTGTTGAGATCATTCTGGCTAGTTAGTAGTAGTATACTTCACTGTTGAGAACCTTCTGGCTAGTTAGTAGTAGTATACTTCACTGTTGAGATCCTTCTGGCTAGTTAGTAGTAGTATACTTCACTGTTGAGATCCTTCTGTCTAGTTAGTAATAGTATACTTCACTGTTGAGATCCTTCTGGCTAGTTAGTAGTAGTATACTTCACTGTTGAGATCCTTCTGGCTAGTTAGTAGTAGTATACTTCACTGTTGAGATCCTTCTGGCTAGTTAGTAGTAGTATACTTCACTGTTGAGTTCCTTCTGGCTAGTTAGTAGTAGTATACTTCACTGTTGAGCTCCTTCTGGCTAGTTAGTAGTAGTATACTTCACTGTTGAGATCCTTCTGACTAGTTAGTAGTAGTATACTTCACTGTTGAGATCCTTCTGGCTTGTTAGTAGTAGTATACTTCACTGTTGAGATCCTTCTGGCTAGTTAGTAGTAGTATACTTCACTGTTGAGATCCTTCTGGCTAGTTAGTAGTAGTATACTTCACTGTTGAGCTCCTTCTGGCTAGTTAGTAGTAGTATACTTCACTGTTGAGATCCTTCTGACTAGTTAGTAGTAGTATACTTCACTGTTGAGATCCTTCTGGCTAGTTAGTAGTAGTATACTTCACTGTTGAGATCCTTCTGGCTAGTTAGTAGTAGTATACTTCACTGTTGAGATCCTTCTGGCTAGTTAGTAGTAGTATACTTCACTGTTGAGATCCTGATCAATGGAAATCCCTATGTTCTAAGACTGTAATCAGAGAGGAAGAGGCGAAGCGAGAGGGTTCACTCCCATCAAAATCTGTCAATGCGGGAATACAGCGATAAGCAGACCGATAAGCAGACCACCTGCCTTCCCGCCTTTGGGTCAGCGCCTCCCATTTTCAGGGTGGAGACCATCTCAACATTATATACAGTATCTCTGCTGTAATTCAATCAAACTTGCAGTGTGGTAAAACCACATTCTAGGTATGGGTGAGGGATCAACCTAGTCTAGGGTACATGTGTGTTGAGGGTCAGGGGTAAGAGATCAGAGGTCAGAGGTCATACCGTGAGGGACTTGCTGAGTTTTTGGTCCTGTTCCTCCAGGTGAGCACACTCCTTCTTCAGCTCCACGTTCCTCCTGAGCAGACTCCTCTTCTCCCCCTCTCTCACTAAACACACACAATACACACCTATTATTACCAGACTCCTCTTCTCCCCCTCTCTCACTAAACACACACACCCCTATTATTAACACACTCCTCTTCTCCCCCTCTCTCACTAAACACACACAATACACACCTATTATTACCAGACTCCTCTTCTCCCCCTCTCTCACTAAACACACACACAATACACACCTATTATTAACACACACCTATTATTAACACACACCTATTATTAACACACAATACACCTATTATTAACACAGAATAACACATGCCAGCTAAGTAAAGGTGTCCATTCTCACCCGTCTTGTGTGTAACGTAGGACTGTACAAAGTTCTGTGGCCACGACATGTTCTCTTTGTTCAGAACCTTCAGGAGGAGGGAGAATACACGTTTAGAAAATGGAGGACAACGTTGCCTTCCCTTCATATACTACATTCAGTAGTTTTGCTGTAGTCATTAGATGTCATAAAGTAGTTTTGTTACAGTCATTAGATGTCATTCAGTAGTTTTGTTACAGTCATTAGATGTCATTCAGTAGTTTTGTTACAGTCATTAGATGTCATTCAGTAGTTTTGTTACAGTCATTAGATGTCATTCAGTAGTTTTGTTACAGTCATTAGATGTCATTCAGTAGTTTTGTTACAGTCATTAGATGTCATTGCAGCATTCCAAAGTACCCATTCTACCCCAACCAGATGTATTTCCCCCTCCACTCTGTAGCTTCTCACCTTCTTCTGGCACTTGGGGCAGACCCAGACCCCCCGGGGGGGGGTTTTGAGAGGGGGGTGCAGGCAGTCAGGGTGGTAGGCTCTAGGGCAGTTGTGGCAGAGCTGCAGCTCTCCGTCCTCCTTACACACGGAGCAGTAGTCATCATGCTCCAGCTCCTCCTGTTTAGACAGACAGTCACACATTCAGTACCGCAGACAGCTGTTAGTGCTGCTATTCCACCTGCCATTCAATGCCACAGTAATGTCAAGGCTAAACAACGTCCCGTTTTTTTTTTTTTGGGGGGGGGGGGGGGGCTTTTGACTGTAGATCCACTGTAAAGCACTGAATGATTGATTGATTGATCCAGTGTAAAGCACTGAATGATTGACTGATTGATCCAGTGTAAAGCACTGAATGATTGACTGATTGATCCAGTGTAAAGCACTGACTGATTGATCCACTGTAAAGCACTGAATGATTGACTGATTGATCCACTGTAAAGCACTGAATTATTGATTGATTGATCCAGTGACACACTGAATGATTGATTGATTGATCCAGTGACACACTGAATGATTGATTGATCCAGTGACACACTGAATGACCAAGGAACTATCTTCTACGATCATGATAATCCTAAAGTTTACAGGACATGCTAAAAGAGAGTTTTGACCCTGTAGAATAATCTTTACTGACAAAATCCTACCCTTATCCCGGGCCCAGCTTCTCTTTTTAATTAAATTCCAACTTGTGGGAGGTTGTCACGGTGTGTGATTTGAACAGCCAGTCAACCCCTGATCTGAATAATAAGAGTGTTGTGATCCAGCCTACAAAGAGAGAGTGACTTTGGGACTTCAGAAGATTTTAGGAAGGTGGCTTTGGACCTGCTGTTTGCCTGATATCTGTGTGAGCCAAACGCAGGCTTCAGTGAAATGTCAGAGCAGTTTAATCCTGACTGAGCAGTTTCATCCTGACGGAGCGATGTAGACATGACAATATACCATCTCTCTGATTACACCGTCCCCCAACAGTTCCTCTCTATCTCAACTATACACTACCCTCCTACCACCACTCACAGTTAACCACTCTCTATAACTTCCATCCCAACCAGTTATCTGATCACTCAACAATCAGTATCACTAAACCTATCTAGAACCATACACACACTATGTATCCATAAACCAATTACAGTATACCACTACAATATCTAAGTATACCCTAAACACACATTACAGTAACCAACCATTTACAGTACCACACACCATATTACGATACCCACTAACACCATATTACAGTATACCCCTACAACACCACATTACAGTACCCACTACAACACACTATTACAGATACCACTACAACACCACTTTACAGTATACCCCACTACAACACCATATCTACAGTTACCCCACTACAACACCACTATCACGTATACCCACAACACCCACTATTACAGTTACCCACTACAACAACACTATACAGTAACCCCATACAACACACATCTACAGTATACCCCACTACAACACCACTATCTACAGTAACCACACAACACCACTATCTACAGTATCCCACTACCCACCACAACACACTATCACGTATACCCCATACAACACCACATCTACAGTATACCCCACTACAACACCACTATCTACAGTTACTACACCCATAACAGACCATCACCCACTATCTACAGTATACCCACTACAACACCACATCTACAGTATACCCCACTACACACACAGACTAACACCACTATCTACAGTATACCCCACTACAACACCACTATCTACAGTATACCCCACTACAACACCACTATCTACAGTATACCCCACTACAACACCACTATCTACAGTATACCCCACTACAACACCACTATCTACAGTATACCCCACTACAACACCACCATCTACAGTATACCCCACTACAACACCACTATCTACAGTATACCCCACTACAACACCACATCTACAGTATACCCCACTACAACACCAATCTACAGTATACCCACTACAACACCACTATCTACAGTATACCCCACTACAACACCACTATCTACAGTATACCCCACTACAACACCACTATCTACAGTATACCCCACTACAACACCACCATCTACAGTATACCCCACTACAACACCACTATCTACAGTATACCCCACTACAACACCACTATCTACAGTATACCCCACTACAACACCACCATCTACAGTACCCCACTACAACACCACTATCTACAGTATACCCCACTACAACACACCATCTACAGTATACCCCACTACAACACCACATCTACAGATACCCACTACAACACCACATCTACAGTATACCCCACTACAACACCACTATCTACAGTATACCCCACTACAACACCACATCTACAGTATACCCCACTACAACACCACTATTACAGTATACCCCACTACAACACCACTATCTACAGTATACCCATACAACACCACTACTACAGTACCCACTACAACACCACTATCTACAGTATACCCCACTACAACACCACTATTCAGTATACCACTATAACACCACACTACTATACCCACACACCACTATCTACAGTATACCCCACTACAACACCACTATCTACAGTATACCCCACTACAAACACCACTATCTACAGTATACCCACTACAACACCACATGTACCCACTACAACCCACTATCTACAGTATACCCCACTACAACACCACCAACACCACTATCTACAGTATACCCCACTACAACACCACCAACACCACTATCTACAGTATACCCCACTACAACACCACTATCTACAGTATACCCCACTACAACACCACTATCTACAGTATACCCCACTACAACACCACTATCTACAGTATACCCCACTACAACACCACCAACACCACTATCTACAGTATACCACTACACCCACTATCTACAATACCCACACACACCATTCTACAGTATACCCCACTACAACACCACTATCTACAGTATACCCCACTACAACACCACTATCTACAGTATACCCCACTACAACACACCACCACTATCTACAGTATACCCCACTACAACACCACACACTATCTACAGTATACCCCACTACAACACCACTATCTACAGTATACCCCACTACAAACCCCACTATTACAGTCCCCACTACAACCCCACCATCTACAGTATACCCCACTACAACACCCACTATCTACAGTATACCCCACTACAAACACCACTATCTACAGTATACCCCACTACACACCACCATCTACAGTATACCCCACTACAACACCACTATACACCAGTATACCCCCACTACAACACCACTATCTACAGTATACCCCACTACAACACCACCATTCTACAGTATACCCCCACTACAACACCACATCTACAGTATACCCCACTACAACACCACTATCTACAGGTATACCCCACTACAACACCACCTATCTACAGTATACCCACACTACAACACCACTATCTACGTATAACCCCACTACAAACACCACTATCTACAGTATACCCCACTACAACACCACCAACACCACTATATACAGTATACCCCACTACAACACCACTATCTACAGTATACCCCACTACAACACCCACTATCTACAGTATAACCCCAACTACAACACCACTATCTACAGTATACCCCAACTACAACACCCACTATCTACAGTATACCCCACTACAACACCACTATCTACAGTATACCCCACTACAACACCACCCTCTACAGTATACCCCACTACAACACCACTATCTACAGTATACCCCACTACAACACCACTATCTACAGTATACCCCACTACAACACCACTATCTACAGTATACCCCACTACAACACCACTATCTACAGTATACCCCACTACAACACCACCTACAGTACCCACTACACACCAATCTACAGTATACCCCACTACAAACACTATCTACAGTATACCCCACTACAAACACCACTACTATACATTAACCCCATCACAACCCACACACCACTATCTACAGTATACCCCACTACAACACACCACTATCTACAGTATACCCCACTAAACCACAAATACCACCACAACACCACTATCTACAGTATACCCACAACCCATCTACAGTAACCCACTAAACACCACTATCTACAGTATACCACTACACCCACTACCATAACCACCACTAAACACCACTATCTACAGTATACCCCACTAAACCACAACACCTATCTACAGTATACCCCACTACAACACCACAACACCATTACAGTATACCCCACTACAAACCACCAACCCCACTACAACACCACATCTACAGTTACCCCACTACAACACCACATCTACAGTATACCCCACTACAACACCACTATCTACAGTATACCCCACTACAACACCACTATCTACAGTATACCCCACTAAAAACACCACACATCTACAGTATACCCCACTACAACACCACTATCTACAGTATACCCCACTACAAACACACACTATCTACAGTATACCCCACTACAACACCACTATCTACAGTATACCCCACTACAACACCACTATCTACAGTATACCCCACTACAAACACCACTATCTACAGTATACCCCACTACAAACCACCATCTACAGTATACCCCACTACAACACCACTATCTACAGTATACCCCACTACAACACCACTATCTACAGTATACCCCACTACAACACCACTATCTACAGTATACCCCACTACAACACCACTATCTACAGTATACCCCACTACAACACCACTATCTACAGTATACCCCACTACAACACCACTATCTACAGTATACCCACTACAAAACACACTATCTACAGATTCCCCACTACAACACCACATCTACAGTATACCCCACTACAACACCAACCATCTTACAGTATACCCCACTACAACAACCACTATCTACAGTATACCCCACTACAACACCACTATCTTACAGTATACCCCACTACAACCACCACTATCTACAGTATACCCCCACTACAAACACCACTATCTACAGTATACCCACACTACCAACACCACTATCTACAGTTATACCCCACTACCACACCACTATATACAGTATACCCCACTACAAACCACTATCTACCAGTATTACCCCAACTAACAAACACACTAATCTACAGTATACCCCACTACAACACCACTATCTACAGTATACCCCACTACAACACCACTATCTACAGTATACCCCACTACAACACCGATGCCAGACACACACACAATATCCTAGCTGTAATCTCGTCATGCTACAGTCCTTACCTTCCAGTTGTAGTCTCCGGTGTCTAGCGTGCGTTAACACAGGAAGCAGAAAACAGGTTAGTAGCTGACTAACAGGTTAAGACGTGAGGGTGAGCAGCAGTTTGGGACCAGAGATGGGGGGGGGGGGGTGGGGGGGGGGGTGCAGCAGGGTTTTAGACAGGGAAACGTTAAAGCGATAGTCCTGCAACATCTCTGTTCTTGGGGGGAACGCAGCAACTCAGATCAACACAGACATGCTCAGTGTAATTACAGTACATGCTCTAGTCTAGTAGGGTACAGTGTAATTACAGTACATGCTCTAGTCTAGTAGGGTACAGTGTAATTACAGTACATGCTCTAGTCTAGTAGGGTACAGTGTAATTACAGTACATGCTCTAGTCTAGTAGGGTACAGTGTAATTACAGTACATGCTCTAGTCTAGTAGGGTACAGTGTAATTACAGTACATGCTCTAGTCTAGTAGGGTATAGTGTAATTACAGTACATGCTCTAGTCTAGTAGGGTACAGTGTAATTACAGTACATGCTCTAGTCTAGTAAGGTACAGTGTAATTACAGTACATGCTCTAGTCTAGTAGGGTACCGTGTAATTATCAGTCCTGTCTAGATGTGTTGATTGGGAAGTATACATGTGCTTTACCAGTCCTGTCTAGTTGTGTTGATGGGGAAGTATAGATGTGTTTTACCAGTCCTGTCTAGTTGTGTTGACGGGGGTGTATAAATGTGTCTTATCAGTCCTGTCTAGATGTGTTGATGGGGAAGTATACATGTGCTTTACCAGTCCTGTCTAGTTGTGTTGATGGGGAAGTATAGATGTGTTTTACCAGTCCTGTCTAGTTGTGTTGATGAGGAAGTATAAATGTGTTTTACCAGTCCTGTCTAGTTGTGTTGATGGGGAGGTATAAATGTGTTTTACCAGTCCTGTCTAGTTGTGTTGATGGGGAGGTATAAATGTGTTTTACCAGTCCTGTCTATTTGTGTTGATGGGGTTATATAAATGTGTCTTATCAGTCCTGTCTAGATGTGTTGATTGGGAAGTATACATGTGCTTTACCAGTCCTGTCTAGTTGTGTTGATGGGGGTGTATAAATGAGTTTTACCAGTCCTGTCTAGTTGTGTTGATGGGGAAGTATAAATGTGTTTTACCAGTCCTGTCTAGATGTGTTGATGAGGAAGTATAAATGTATTTTACCAGTCTTGTCTAGTTGTGTTGATGGGGGTGTATAAATGTGTTTTACCAGTCCTGTCTAGTTGTGTTGATGAGGAAGTATAAATGTGTTTTACCAGTCCTGTCTAGTTGTGTTGATGAGGAAGTATAAATGTGTTTTACCAGTCCTGTCTAGTTGTGTTGATGGGGGTGTATAAATGTGTTTTACCAGTCCTGTCTAGTTGTGTTGATGGGGAGGTATAAATGTGTTTTACCAGTCCTGTCTAGTTGTGTTGATGAGGAAGTATAAATGTGTTTACCTCTCACTGATAGGAAGAGTGGGTTGTTCAGGTAATTTGATGCAAGGCGTTTACGCTGGAAGGTAGAAAGTGAGGAGAGGGAGAGAGAGAGAAAATGTTTACTTCCCTCCCATCTAACACAACAGGAATGTTGACACATTTTTAGCTCTGCAATGACTCAACAGCATTCACTGAATACTGAAGTTCTGTGGACAGCACTCTAGTAGAAACATTGTAGCACACGGTTTGGCCAGTGTAACTGAACAGCATGTATGAAGCTATGTGGAATTGTTTTAAGAAGGTCATACCAAGGATCATTTTGCTATTTGCGATTGAATTTTAAGACCCATTGAAGTATCAAAAATATATATTTAAAAAGTATTTGATGAATTTTTGGCCTTACTGCTATTAGCCCATACAAACACATTGAATAACAGATTCACTACATGGAACAACAGATAGTCCTTACTGCTATTAGCCCATACAAACACATTGAATAACAGATTCACTACATGGAACAACAGATAGTCCCCCCAAAAATCGAAGGAAGTTTGTTTTAAAGTGTCTGTCCTATATCTGAGAGTTGTAAGAAAGATCAGGAATTTTGTTTAGTTTTTTTTTTTTACATGTATTTAACCCCTTATTTTTGTCACAATGTTTTGGGGACTGGTACCGTGCGACCTTCGGACGAGTCTTGTGAGGCCTGTGGGCGTCCTAGAGAAAAACAACTGACATGTACAACCGATATCTCTAGCTTAAACGGACAGATTTCTGTGGGGATCGTTTTATTATGCTAATTAGATGTCTGCACGGGTGCGGACATCGACCTCATTAAACTCTGAATCAGAGACGCTGTCTGTATCACTACCCTACCTCCACATGAACATAAAGTAACGTACTGTATCTCCAACATCTCTTAAACATTTCAAACGTGTCTCATATCTCTCCTGAACAGCTCGGAGATCATATTTCCAGATAAGGGTCCATTGTGTGTGTGTGTGTGTGTGTGTGTGTGTGTGTGTGTGTGTTACCTCTGGTTGGACCAGGCCGCTGTAGGCTGGGTTGGCTGTGCTTCGTCTCTTCCTCTCTTGTCTCTTGGTCTGGATCTCTGCCATAGTAGAGGAACAAAGGGTTGATTATGTTACAGGGGCTTAGATACACACAGCCGGTACAGATAGATGGGACAGACAGACAGACAGGTAGACACAGCTAGATGGGACAGACAGACAGACAGACAGACAGGTAGACACAGCCGGTACAGCTAGATTGGGACAGACAGACAGGTAGACAGACAGACAGGTAGACACAGCCGGTACAGGTAAAATATGTATCTGGCGCTGATGTGTGGGTGAACAAGTTTTAACACAGACATAAAACGGTTGGTATGATGAGTTGAATTGAAAGAACAGAGAAACCCACACACTGCTCTGGCACATCTGTTGTTGCAAGTGCAGGGTAACAATGAGATAACTTGAAAGAACAGAGAAACCCACACACTGCTCTGGCTGGTATCACTGTTTTATTAAAGTTTACGTGTCGGCCTCTTGGCCTTCGTCAGAGCTTTAAAAAAATATTTAAAAAATAACACTCTGACGAAGGCCAAGAGGCCGACACGTAAACTTTAATAAAACAGTGATACTAGCCAGAGCAGTGTGTGGGTTTCTCTGTTCTTTCAAGTTATCTCATTGTTACCCTGCACCTGCAACAACAGCTCAGATGTGCCAGTGCCTTTTTGAATGATGATTTAAAGTTTAATTAAATTAGTGTCAGAGGAAGAACTCACCTTCCAGTGTCTCTGTAGTGACCAGGCCAAGAGCCACCATGAAGGCCATTTTCTGTATGGGAGAGGGGACATGTTAGAGTGTGACACCCATATGAATACCATACAGTGAAAGGTAGAGAGGGACATGCTACAGTGTGACACCCATAGAAATACCATACAGTGAAAGGTGGAGAGGGGACATGTTAGAGTGTGACCTCCATTTGCATAACATACAGGTGGAGAGGGGACATGTTAGAGTGTGACACCCATATGAATACCATACAGTGAAAGGTAGAGAGGGGACATGTTAGAGTGTGACACCCCTAGGAATACCATACAGTGAAAGGTGGAGAGGCGACATGTTAGAGTGTGACACCCATATGAATCCCATACAGGTGGAGAGGGGACATGTTAGAGTGTGACACCCATATGAATACCATACAGTGAAAGGTAGAGAGGGGACATGTTAGAGTGTGACACCCCTAGGAATACCATACAGTGAAAGGTGGAGAGGGGACATGTTAGAGTGTGACACCCATATGAATCCCATACAGGTGGAGAGGGGACATGTTAGAGTGTGACACCCATATGAATCCCATACAGGTGGCGAGGGGACATGTTAGAGTGTGACACCCATATGAATCCCATACAGGTGGAGAGGGGACATGTTAGAGTGTGACACCCATAGGAATACCATACAGGTGGCGAGGGGACATGTTAGAGTGTGACACCCATAGGAATACCATACAGGTGGCGAGGGGACATGTTAGAGTGTGACACCCATAGGAATACCATACAGGTGGCGAGGGGACATGTTAGAGTGTGACACCCATAGGAATACCATACAGGTGGAGAGGGGACATGTTAGAGTGTGACACCCATAGGAAAACCATACAGTGAAAGGTGGAGAGGGGACATGTTAGAGTGTGACACCCATAGGAACCTCCATACAGGAGAGAGGGAAAGGTTCCATCATATAGATTCATAACAAAGTAGTGTATAGTTTTCCCATTCCAGTCCCACAGTGGGAGGCATGTCAACTGGGATGAGATATAATCTGCCTCCTCAATCCTCCAGAACCCATCTATTCTCCAGCTGGAGAACCCTCAGGTTAGGGTTGGAATGTTCACAACTCTCAGCTTCAGGTTGTGAGTGTTCTCTCCTGAAGAGTCTGCTTCCCCTTATGGCTTATTCATGAAGAGTTTTCCCTCCCTCTCTCCCTCCTCTCCCTCCTCTCCCTCCCTCCCTCTCTCCCTCCTCTCCCTCCCCTCCCTCCTCTCCCTCTCCTCCCTCTCTCCCTCTCTCCCTCCTCTCCCTCCCTCCCCTCCCCCCCTCCTCCATCTCACTCCTCTCCCCTCCTCCCTCCCCATCCCTCCCTACCCTCCCCTCCCTCCCTCCCTCCCTCCTCTCCTCCTCCTCCCTCCCTCCCTCCCCTCCCTCCCTCCCTCCCTCCCTCCCTCCTCTCCCTCCTCCCTCCCTCCTCCCTCCCTCCCTCCCTCCCCCTCCTCCCTCCCTCCCCCTTCCTCCCCTCCCTCCCTCCTCTCTCCCTCCCTCCCTCCTCTCACTCCCTCCCTCCCTAGCACAGACTTCCCTTTGTTTTATTATGTTAGAGCATGGCTCAGTTGGTAGAGCATGGCCCAGTTGGTAGAGCATGGCCCAGTTGGTAGAGCATGGCCCAGTTGGTAGAGCATGGCCCAGTTGGTAGAGCATGGCCCAGTTGGTAGAGCATGGCCCAGTTGGTAGAGCATGGCTCAGTTGGTAGAGCATGGCTCAGTTGGTAGAGCATGGCCCAGTTGGTAGAGCATGGCTCAGTTGGTAGAGCATGGCCCAGTTGGTAGAGCATGGCTCAGTTGGTAGAGCATGGCCCAGTTGGTAGAGCATGGCCCAGTTGGTAGAGCATGGCCCAGTTGGTAGAGCATGGCTCAGTTGGTAGAGCATGGTTCAGTTGGTAGAGCATGGCCAAGTTGGTAGAGCATGGCCAAGTTGGTAGAGCATGGCCCAGTTGGTAGAGCATGGCTCAGTTGGTAGAGCATGGCTCAGTTGGTAGAGCATGGCCCAGTTGGTAGAGCATGGCCCAGTTGGTAGAGCATGGCCCAGTTGGTAGAGCATGGCCCAGTTGGTAGAGCATGGCCCGGTTGGTAGAGCATGGCCCAGTTGGTAGAGCATGGCCCAGTTGGTAGAGCATGGCCCAGTTGGTAGAGCATGGCTCAGTTGGTAGAGCATGGCTCAGTTGGTAGAGCATGGCTCAGTTGGTAGAGCAAGGCGCTTGCAACGCCAGGGTTGTGGGTTCGTTTCCCACGAGGGGGGCCAGTATGAAAAATGTATGCACTCACTAACTGTAAGTGGCTCTGGATAAGAGCGTCTGCTAAATGACTAAAATGTAAAAATATTCCTAAGAGTGAGATCAATAAGAGTCAATCCATAGTGAATCACACTCATAGCTACTGCTTGTTGAATCAGTATATGATCAGATCAGTCACTCTCATAGTTACTGCGTATATCGTGAGGGGGACGAGGGATAGAGGGGGACGAGGGATAGAGGGGGACGAGGAGTAGAGGGGGACGAGGGATAGAGGGGGACGAGGAGTAGAGGGGGACGAGGAGTAGAGGGGGACGAGGGATAGAGGGGGACGAGGGATAGAGGGGGATGAGGAGTAGAGGGGGACGAGGGATAGAGGGGGACGAGGAGTAGAGGGGGACGAGGGATAGAGGGGGACGAGGGGTAGAGGGGGACGAGGGATAGAGGGGGACGAGGGATAGAGGGGGACGAGGGATAGAGGGGGACGAGGAGTAGAGGGGGACGAGGGATAGAGGGGGACGAGGGATAGAGGGGGACCAGGGATAGAGGGGGACCAGGATAGAGGGGGACGAGGAGTAGAGGGGGACGAGGAGTAGAGGGGGACGAGGGATAGAGGGGGACGAGGGGTAGAGGGGGACGAGGGATAGAGGGGGACGAGGAGTAGAGGGGGACGAGGGATAGAGGGGGACGAGGGATAGAGGGGGACGAGGGATAGAGGGGGACCAGGGATAGAGGGGGACGAGGGATAGAGGGGGACGAGGGATAGAGGGGGACGAGGGATAGAGGGGGACCAGGGATAGAGGGGGACGAGGGATAGAGGGGGACGAGGGATAGAGGGGGACGAGGGATAGAGGGGGACGAGGGGATAGAGGGGGACCAGGGATAGAGGGGGACGAGGGATAGAGGGGGACGAGGGAATAGAGGGGGACGAGGTATAGAGGGGGACGAGGGATAGAGGGGGACCAGGGATAGAGGGGGGACGAGGGGGATAGAGGGGGACGAGGGATAGAGGGGGACGAGGGATAGAGGGGGACGAGGGATAGAGGGGGACGAGGGATAGAGGGGGGACCAGGGATAGAGGGGGACGAGGGACTATTAGAGGGGGACGTAGGGATAGAGGGGGACCAGGGATAGAGGGGAAAGAGGGAGATAGAGGGGGGGAGGGCTAGAGGGGGACGAGGGATAGAGGGACGAGGGGTTAGAGGGGGTTAGAGGGGGACGCGGTGTAGAGGGGGACGAGGGATAGAGGGGGACGAGGAGATAGAGGGGGGGGACGAGGATAGAGGGGGGGACAGGGGGATAGAGGGGGCAACCAGGGATAGAGGGGGACCAGGGATAGAGGGGGACGAGGGATAGGAGGGGGACGAGGGATAGAGGGGGACGAGGGAGGGATGGAGGGAAAGGAAGGCTGAGTCAGGATTATCTGGGATTATCTGACTGAATAATTAGATGGGTTAACCAATCAGAGTTAGAGTGATCAGATAGATTGACATCTGCTCCAGCTCTGAGTTAGCAGTAGCACCATATCAGAGAACCTAATAGTTAGCATATGGCTTAGATAAATGATGACGGTTTATTGGCTTTAAATCCTTATTTATGTAATAAAATACTATAAAAGTGAGGCTTTTCTCTATTCTCTAATACAACATGGTTTGTGTTCTTGTTATTGAGGTATGATCATTTAGAATAGTGGTTTTACCTCTGGGACCTCATCCTTCTGCTTCTTCCTCTTCTTGGCTGGTGTAGAGGAGGGAGGGGTGGAGGGGTTGGGGGTCGGGGTGATGGAGGGGTTCTCCTGGGAGGGGCTGTCGGCCCCCTGGGGTCCTCCTGGGGAGTCCTGGGAGGAGCTGGGGGTCTCAGCCTCTGGCTGGATTATTATCACCTGGGAAAACACACACACACACACACACCACACACACACACACACACACACACATACACACAGGCAGGGAGAGCAACACACACACACACACACAGGGAGAGCAACACACCACACACACATACACACACACACACACACACACACACACACAGGGAGAGCAACACACCACACACACACACACACACACACACACACACAGGGAGAGCAACACACCACACACACACACACAGGGAGAGCAACACACCACACACACACAGGCAGGGAGAGAGTTAGGCATCAGTTAGTTCATTGGCTGTTGGTTCTAGTAACCTTTTAGTGGGAAGGTTTAAACAATTGATTGTGATTGATTTAAATTAAGAATGATAACACACAATTTGATGATGCCTGTAATGATGCCCGTAATGCTAACTGTAATTCTACCTGTAATACTAACTGTAATTCTGCCTGTAATGCTAACTGTAATTCTGCCTGTAATGCTAACTGTAATTCTACCCGTAATGCTAACTGTAATTCTGCCTCTAATGCTAACTGTAATTCTGCCTGTAATGCTAACTGTTTTCTACCTGTAATGCTAACTGTAATTATGCCTGTAATGCTAACTGTAATTCTGCCTGTAATGCTAACTGTAATTCTACCTGTAATGCTAACTGTAATTCTACCTGTAATGCTAACTGTAATTCTGCCTGTAATGCTAACTGTAATTCTGCCTGTAATGCTAACTGTAATTCTACCTGTAATGCTAACTGTAATTCTACCTGTAATGCTAACTGTAATTCTACCTGTAATGCTAACTGTAATTCTGCCTGTAATGCTAACTGTAATTCTACCTGTAATGCTAACTGTAATTCTGCCTGTAATTCTACCTGTAATGCTAACTGTAATTCTACCTGTAATGCTAACTGTAATTCTCCCTGTAATGCTAACTGTAATTCTGCCTGTAATGCTAACTGTAATTCTACCTGCAATGCTAACTGTAATTCTGCCTGTAATGCTAACTGTAATTCTGCCTGTAATGCTAACTGTAATTCTGCCTGTAATGTGAAGCCTTAGAGAAGATCAGCATGAAGTGTCTGATGATTGTAGAGACCATGCTGACAGAGACGGTCACTAGGGCTAGTAGGATGCGTAGGACAGTCTTTAACCTTATTGTCCGTGCTGAAGACCAGCGGCTGGATCTTGACTCCCTCACTGACGGCCCACACCCCGTTGTTCCCCGTATCGGCCGGCGGCGAGGCAGATATGATGGAGAAGGTCACACCGGGGGCTACCGAGGCTGAGGTGGCAGTCGGGCTGCTGGTAGAGGTGGGGGAGATGGTGGTGGTGGAGGGGCCTCCAGGCCAGGCTTGGGCCAGGGAGAGAGACTGGAGAGGGGGCTGGAGAGGGGGCGAGGAGGTTGCGTCTCCCTGGCCTTTGGAGAGGCGTTCTGTGCTGAACGTGCTGTTGGCTGTAGGCAGGGCCGGGCCGAGGGTGTGGCTCTGGATGAGGGTGTGGCTGGAGCTGTGGGTGTGGTTAAAGCTGTGGGCGTGGCTCTTAGGGCTGACCACAGCGGTAACTCTCTGGAGGTTGAGGAGACTGAGGGCCTGACTGGATGACTGTTTCTGGCTGGCTGGCTGCTCCTGAGGGAGGCGGAGGAGACGGAGGGCCTGACTGGATGACTGTTTCTGGCTGGCTGGCTGCTCCTGAGGGACAAAAACATGGCTGTGGCTGTCGGGGAGGCTGTCTGGGATCACACTCTCTGGCTGAACCTGGAGGGAGGGAGGAATGGAGGGAGGGAGGGGAGGCAGGGAGGGAGGGAGGGAGGGAGGGAGGGAGAGAGGGAGGGAGGGAGGGAGGGGAGGGGAGGGAGGGAGAGGAGGGAGCATGTTAAGTAACCATGATTATAGTTTACTTTATTAAAATACCTGTACAGATGAACTGACTAATACCATCTGAAGCAGTCAGTAACACCAACCATCTCTGTACTGAAGCAGTCAGTAACACCGACCATCTCTGTACTGAAGCAGTCAGTAACACCGACCATCTCTGTACTGAAGCAGTCAGTAACACCAACCATCTCTGTACTGAAGCAGTCAGTAACACCGACCATCTCTGTACTGAAGCAGTCAGTAACACCAACCATCTCTGTACTGAAGCAGTCAGTAACACCAACCATCTCTGTACTGAAGCAGTCAGTAACACCGACCATCTCTGTACTGAAGCAGTCAGTAACACCGACCATCTCTGTACTGAAGCAGTCAGTAACACCGACCATCTCTGTACTGAAGCAGTCCGTAACACCAACCAACCTTTCTCTGTCTCTCTCTCTCTCTCTGTCTCTCTCTCTCTCTCTGTCTCTCTCTCTGTCTCTCTCTCTCTCTCTCTCTCTCTCTCCCTCTCTCTCTCCCTCTCTCTCTCCCTCTCTCTCGCTGTGTCTCTGTCTGTCTCTCTCGCTCTTTCTCAATTCAATTCAATTTGCTTTATTAGCATGACGTAACAATGTACATACAGTGAGGGAAAAAAGTATTTGATCCCCTGCTGATTTTGTACGTTTGCCCACTGACAAAGACATGATCAGTGTATAATTTTAATGGTAGGTTTATTTGAACAGTGAGAGACAGAATAACAACAACAAAATCCAGAAAAATGCATGTCAAAAATGTTATAAATTGATTTGCATTTTAATGAGGGAAATAAGTATTTGACCCCTCTGCAAAACATTACTTAGTACTTGGTGACAAACCCTTGTTGGCAATCACAGAGGTCAGACGTTTCTTGTAATTGGCCACCAGGTTTGCACACATCTCAGGAGGGATTTTGTCCCACTCCTCTTTGCAGATCTTCTCCAAGTCATTAAGGTTTCGAGGCTGACGTTTGGCAACTCGAACCTTCAGCTCCCTCCACAGATTTTCTATGGGGTTAAGGTCTGGAGACTGGCTAGGCCACTCCAGGACCTTAATGTGCTTCTTCTTGAGCCACTCCTTTGTTGCCTTGGCCGTGTGTTTTGGGTCATTGTCATGCTGGAATACCCATCCACGACCCATTTTCAATGCCCTGGCTGAGGGAAGGAGGTTCTCACCCAAGATTTGACGGTACATGGCCCCGTCCATCGTCCCTTTGATGCAGTGAAGTTGTCCTGTCCCCTTAGCAGAAAAACACCCCCAAAGCATAATGTTTCCACCTCCATGTTTGACGGTGGGGATGGTGTTCTTGGGGTCATAGGCAGCATTCCTCCTCCTCCAAACACGGCGAGTTGAGTTGATGCCAAACAGCTCCATTTTGGTCTCATCTGACCACAACACTTTCACCCAGTTCTCCTCTGAATCATTCAGATGTTCATTGGCAAACTTCAGATAGGCATGTATATGTGCTTTCTTGAGAAGGGGGACCTTGCGGGCGCTGCATGATTTCAGTCCTTCACGGCGTAGTGTGTTACCAATTGTTTTCTTAGTGACTATGGTCCCAGCTGCCTTGAGATCATTGACAAGATCCTCCCGTGTAGTTCTGGGCTGATTCCTCACCGTTCTCATGATCATTGCAACTCCACGAGGTGAGATCTTGCATGGAGCCCCAAGCCGAGGGAGATTGACAGGTCTTTTGTGTTTCTTCCATTTGCAAATAATCGCACCAACTGTTGTCACCTTCTCACCAAGCTGCTTGGCGATGGTCTTGTAGCCCATTCCATCCTTGTGTAGGTCTACAATCTTGACCCTGACATCCTTGGAGAGCTCTTTGGTCTTGGCCATGGTGGAGAGTTTGGAATCTGAATGATTGATTGCTTCTGTGGACAGGTGTCTTTTATACAGGTAACAAACTGAGATTAGGAGCACTCCCTTTAAGAGTGTGCTCCTAATCTCAGCTCGTTACCTGTATAAAAGACACCTGGGAGCCAGAAATCTTTCTGATTGAGAGGGGGTCAAATACTTATTTCCCTCATTATAATGCAAATCAATTTATAACATGTTTGACATGCGTTTTTCTGGATTATTTTGTTGTTATACTGTCTCTCGCTGTTCAAATAAACCTACCATTAAAATTATAGACAGATCATGTCTTTGTCAGTGGGCAAACGTACAAAATCATCAGGGGATCAAATACTTTTTTCCCTCACTGTATTGCCAAAGCTTACTTTGGATATTTACACTATTAACATAATTAATCATAATAATCAGTATTGTCAACGGGACAACAGTGACAACAATAACCAAGGGTCAAAATAACCATTGAACAATAACAATATAGAGGACATGTGCAGGTTGGTTGGTCTGTCAGACACTGTCCCTCGTCTTATGGCAGGCAGCAATGTAATGCGCTGCCAACCCACAGCTCTCTGAGTCCTCCCCCAACAGGATGGGAAGCCTATCCTCATCAGAGAGGTCTTTGAAACCTTGAATAAGGTTTTCAAATTTGGGGAAATGACACTCTCTAATTGGTTTATATTTTTGACATTTTGTCAGGAAATGCAGCTCTGTCTCAGGTTCTGCTGTGGTGCAGTGGTTGCACAGCCTTTCCTCTACAGGGAGCCAGGTTTTCCTGTGTCTACCCTTCTCAACGGCAAGGCTGTGCTTACTGAGCCTGTACTCTGTCAAGGTTTTTCTAAGGTTTTGATCGGTAATCATGGTCAAATAGTGAGCCACGGTGTACTGTCGATTTAGGGCCAGATAGCACTGCATTTTACTTTGTGCTTGTGCTTGTGTTTCCCAAGAAGCAATGTCGTTTTATTTTGACTGTGTTGTAATTTGGTTTATTGTGACTGATTGGATGTTCTGGTCCTGAGGCTTCAGTGTGTTAGTAGAACAGGTTTGTGAACTCAGCCCCAGGACCAGCTGGATGAGGGGACTCTTTTCTTTGCTCAGCTCTTGGCATTGCAGGGCTTGGTAATGATATGAGAGGGGGTCACTGTATTTTAGATGTTTCCAAAACTTAATTGCTCTTATTTAAGTTTGTATTATTAGTGGATATTGGCCTAATTCTGCCCTGCATGCATTGTTTGTAGTTTTCCTCTGGAGAATCTTCCAGAACTCTGCATGCAGGGTTTCAATGGGGCGTTTGTCCCATTGGGTGAAATCTTGTTTTGCATGTGGACCCCACACCTCGCTGCCATAAAGTGCAATTGGGTTCAATGACACATTCAATTCGTTTTAGCCAAATTTTAATAGGTATTTCAATTAGATTTTTTTTAATGGCGTAGAATGCCCTGCGTGCTTTCTCTCTCAGTTCATTCACTGCCTCATTTAGGTGTCCAGTTGAGCTTATTTTTAAACCTAAGTAATTGTAGTGTACAGTACTCTATATATTTAAACCTAAGTAATTGTAGTGTACAGTACGCTATATATTTAAACCTAAGTAATTGTAGTGTGTACAATACTCTATATATTTAAACCTAAGTAATTGTAGTGTGTACAGTACGCTATATATTTAAACCTAAGTAATTGTAGTGTGTTCAGTACTGTATATATTTAAACCTAAGTAATTGTAGTGTACAGTACGCTATATATTTAAACCTAAGTAATTGTAGTGTGTTCAGTACTGTATATATTTAAACCTAAGTAATTGTAGTGTACAGTACGCTATATATTTAAACCTAAGTAATTGTAGTGTGTACAGTACTCTATATATTCAAACCTAAGTAATTGTAGTGTACAGTACGCTATATATTTAAACCTAAGTAATTGTAGTGTACAGTACTCTATATAGGTAAACTTAAGTAATTGTAGTGTGTGCAGTACTCTATATATTTTGTACCAATTGAGAACTTTGGTCTAATTCCCTGAGATCTGGACCTTCTTTGGAAAATCATTATTTTAGTCTTTTTGGGGTTTACTGCCGGGGCCCAGGTCTGTCAGGTCCAGGCTCTGCTGTAGGCCATGTGCTGTGGGTGACAGCAGGCACAGGTCATCTACGAAGAGCAGGCATTTAAACACTGAATTGTGGAGACTCTCCCTAGCTCTCACTCTCTCCCTGGCTCTCTCTCTCTCCCTAGCTCTCTCTCTCTCCCTGGCTCTCTCTCTCTCCCTGGCTCTCTCTCTCTCTCCCTGGCTCTCTCTCTCTCCCTGGCTCTCTCTCTCTCCCTAGCTCTCTCTGTCTCTCTCTGTCTCTCTCTGTCTCTCTCTCTGTCTCTCTCTCTGTCTCTCTCTCTGTCTCTCTCTCTGTCTCTCTCTCTGTCTCTCTCTCTGTCTCTCTCTGTCTCTCTCTGTTTCTCTCTGTCTCTTTCTCTCTCTCTCTCCCTAGCTCTCTCTAACACACACAGAAGATAACCTGTTCATTCAGACTCAACACGAGAGACCGACGGAGAACTGACACACACATTTACTATCGTCTAGTCTACCCGACAGACAGACAGGCAGGCAGACAGACAGACAGACAGCTCCGTGTCAGACCACTGTCACTCTGTTCTTCTCTGTGAGTGTTGACAGGACCAGACGTGATCTGGGTTGTAACACTGCTGCAGGAGAACAGACAGACAACAGACCTGGTGAAAGGCAGCAGAGTCCTCTGGCTTTGTTTGGTTGTTTGGTTGGTGTCTGTACATTGGATTAGCTACAGACAGACAACAGACCTGGTGAAAGGCAGCAGAGTCCTCTGGCTTTGTTTGGTTGGTGTCTGTACATTGGATTAGCTACAGACAGACAACAGACCTGGTGAAAGGCAGCAGAGTCCTCTGGCTTTGTTTGGTTGTTTGGTTGGTGTCTGTACTTTGGATTAGCTACAGACAGACAACAGACCTGGTGAAAGGCAGCAGAGTCCTCTGGCTTTGTTTGTTTGTTTGGTTGGTGTCTGTACTTTGGATTAGCTGGTTCATATAATACCTAGAGGGGCAGGACCAGACGTACCCTGACTTGATTGATTCTAATGACTGGCACGGGCGCTACTGATGTGTTGGTCTGTGTATTGGATTAGCTGGTCCATAATATCATGAGCTCTGCTTCTGCTCCGTTTGCTGATGTGTTGGTCTGTGTATTGGATTAGCTGGTCCATAATATCATGAGCTCTGCTTCTGCTCCATTTGCTGATGTGTTGGTCTGTGTATTGGATTAGCTGGTCCATAATATCATGAGCTCTGCTTCTGCTCCGTTTGCTGATGTGTTGGTCTGTGTATTGGATTAGCTGGTCCATAATATCATGAGCTCTGCTTCTGCTCCATTTGCTGATGTGTTGGTCTGTGTATTGGATTAGCTGGTCCATAATATCATGAGCTCTGCTTCTGCTCCGTTTGCCTTGTGAGGCACTGTGTTATGGACAGCAGGATTTGTAACACTATTGTTTTCCGAGTGGCGCAGTGGTCTAAGGCACTGCATCGCAGTGCTAGCTGTGCCACTAGAGATCCTGGTTCGAATCCAGGCTCTGTCATAGCCGGCCGCGACCGGGAGACCCATGGGGCGGCGCACAATTGGCCCAGCGTCGTCCAGGGTAGGGGAGGGAATGGCCGGCAGGGATGTAGCTCAGTTGGTAGAGCATGGCGTTTGCAACGCCAGGGTTGTGGGTTCGATTCCCACGGGGGGCCAGTATTAAAAAAAAAATGTATGCACTCACTAACTGTAAGTCGCTCTGGATAAGAGCGTCTGCTAAATGATTAAAATGTAATGTAAATGTTTTTTTTTAATGAGCTGAGAGATGGGTTCGGTTTGTAAGGGTGTGCTGCCACCTGGTGGTCACTTCAACACCTGCACTCTGATGCACCACCAGGCCTCCAGAGTTATGAGCAAAGAGATTTATAGCCTGCCTGGGTGACCTCTCAGATCTGCCATCACAGACGTTTAATATACTACAGCCAGTCACAGGCTAAGTTGTGTTTTGTTTTGCTGTGGTTCTTCCTCTGAGGGTTTTAGCAGACGATATGCTGCTATGCTATTTCTGGTTCAGACCATTAGAGCCTCCTAGTCTAAGAAACACAATGTTCCTCTATATATCAGGGTTTCTTTATTTTGGAAGAAAAGTTCAGAGATTCACTTCAGTGTTGTTGTGTTGTAGTTGAGGTGTGTTGTAGTTGAGGTGTGTTGAGGTGTGTTGTAGTTGAGGTGTGTTGTTGTGTTGTAGTTGAGGTGTGTTGTTGTGTTGTAGTTGAGGTGTGTTGTTGTGTTGTAGTTGAGGTGTGTTGTTGTGTTGTAGTTGAGGTGTGTTGTTGTGTTGTAGTTGAGGTGTGTTGTAGTTGTTGTGTGTTGTGTGTTGTTGTGTGTTGTGTTGTAGTTGAGGTGTGTTGTTGTGTTGTAGTTGAGGTGTTTTAGTTGATGTGTGTTGTTGTGTTGTAGTTGAGGTGTGTTGTGTTGTAGTTGAGGTGTGTTGTGTTGTGTTGTCGTTGCGGTGTGTTGTTGTGTTGTCGTTGGCGGTGTGTTGTTTGTGTTGTCGTTGCGGTGTGTTGTCGTTGTTGTGGTGTTGTGTTTGTCGTTGAGGTGTGTTGTTGTGTTGTCGTTGCGGTTGTGTTGTCGTTGCGGTGTGTTGTGTTGTGTTGTCGTTGCGTGTGTGTTGTCGTTGCGGTGTGTTGTCTGTGGTCGTTGCGTGTGTTGTCGTTGCGGTGTGTTGTTGTGTTGTCGTTGGGTGTGTTGTTGTGTTTGTCGTTGCGGTGTGTTCCTGTGTTGTCGTTTGCGGTGTGTTGTCGTTGCGGTGTGTTGTCGTTGCGGTGTGTTGTCTGTTGCGGTGTGTTGTCGTTGCGGTGTGTTGTTGTGTTGTCGTTGCGGTGTGTTGTTGTTTGTGTTGTGTTGCGTGTGTGTTGTTTTGTTTTTTGCGGTGTGTTGTCGTTGCGGTGTGTTGTTGTTTGTCGTTGCTGTGTGTTGTTGTGTTGTCGTTGCGGTGTGTTGTTTGTGTTGTCGTGCGGTGTGTTGTTGTTTGTTGCGTGTGTTGTCTTTCTTGTGTGTTGTGTTGTCGTTTGCTGTGGTTTGTTGTGTTGTCGTTGCGTGTTTTGTTGCTGTGTTGTTGTTGTGTTGTCTTGGGTGTTGTTTGTGTTGTCGTTGCGGTGTGTTGTGTTGTGTTGTCGTTGCGGTGTTGTTGTTTGTTTGTCGTTGCGTGTGTTGTCGTTTGTTGTGTTGTTTGTCGTTGCGGTGTGTGTTGTGTTTGTTTGCGTGTGTTGTGTTGTTTTTGTGTTGTGTTGTCTTTGCGGTGTGTTGTTTTGTTGTCGTTCGGTGTTGTGTTTGTCGTTCGGTGTGTTGTGCTTGGGTTTGTCTTGCGGTGTGTTTCGTTCGGGTGTTGTCGTTGCGGTGTGTTGGTCGTTGCGGTGTGTTGTTTGTGTTGTCGTTGCGGTGTGTTGTTGTGTTGTCGTTGCGGTGTGTTGTCGTTGGGTGTGTTGTGTTGTCGTTCGGTGCTGTTGTTGTTTGGTGTGTTTGTTCTTCGTGTGTTTCGAGCGTTGTGCCTAGTACGAATCGCTGTTCGATCCCCTGCGCCCACGTGTGAAAATCTGTCGATGCCTTGAGCAAGGCCTTTGTAACCTTGCCTCCGTGTATGCTCTTGGTAAGAGCGTCTGCTAATGACCAATATTTTAATTTTATTTATTATTGTTGTGTTGTAGTTGAGGTGTGTGTTGTGTTGTTTGTGTTTGTTGAGTGTGTTGTGTTGGGTGTTGTTGTGTTGTAGTGGGTGGGTTGTGTTGTTGATTGTTTTGTTGGGGGTTGTAGTTAATGTTTTTGTTGTTTTGGGGGTGTTTGTTTGGTGTTTGTTTTTGTTGTTTTGGGTGTGTTTTTGGGTGTGTTGTTGTG